TGGTGGGAGCAGCAGCCCGGGCTGACCAAACTCCCTGGTGGAGCCTGAGCCCCCTCTCCTCCGTGAAGAGCCAAACACCAGCCCATCCACTCTTGCCTGGGTGGGACTCACATTCCTGTTCGATGAGTGTCCTCCAAGCATCACAAGGGTTAGAGCTCTCTTGCAAGCTGTGCCCATTAGCTCCAAGCAAGCTGCCCACCCTGGGTGCTGCACAGGCTGAGCCCGGGTGGCCCCAGGCAGCATCAAGCTGTGCCTGGCCAGGGAGTGGTGACAACACAGTGAGGGGAGCCAGGGATGTAGTATGCGCATTTTCCTTTCTGCCTGTTGTTTGTTTTCCCTTGTAAACCAGCAGGAATGCCTGGTGTTGCTCTGTGCCTGGAGAGCATCCCTGCTGGGGGTTGTGCTGGAGAAGGGAGGTACCTGCACATGGGATTCCCTCTGGTCACACCGCAGGGACCCCATGTGCGGGGAATATGGTCCCTGGGCAGGTCCCACATCAGGCTAGGCTTGCTCTGTGAGAAATTGGCCTTGTGCCACAGAGTCCTGCCACACACAGGGACAGAGGGATTAGGCAGGTCACTGCATGCCCTGGATGTGCCCCAGGGATCAGACAGGGAGGGAGAGGAGGGTGCACAGCAGGAGGAGGAAGGCTATGGGGCTCCAAAGGGGAACATTGTTCCACATCCCTGTTGGCAGGTCCTTGGGTGCTTGGTCATGGATGGCCTCTCCTCAGGCCAGTGGAGAAAGAAACAGGCATTTCCAAAGTGACTTGTTCCTTGCTTTAAATGTGTTGTGCTCAGGAGCAGCAAAGTGTCCTCCAGAGGGGCAGCTCCTCCTTGGCCACAGAAAGCCTAGAGCATTTGCCCAGGCTCCCCTGATTCCTCCACACTGCCGGGGCAAGTGCTAGCCTGACGAACGTGTTACAACCAGCTCAGTCCCCTGTGCTCCAAGGGTGCACTCATGTCCCCCTGTGCCAACACGTGTTCTCCAGTGCTCACACCGACCCCAGCCCTGGAGGAGGACGCGGCTGCCTGGCTGCTGCATTTGGACAGAGAAGAGCGCCACTGAGAGGCTTGAACGTGCTATGGGGCTCATTGAGGAGGAGGTGGGCAGCTCCCCTGGATGAAAGCAGGGAGGAGCAACCCCTGTCAGGCAGGAGGTGATGTGAGATGAGGTGAAAGTCCCTTGTGGCACAGGTGTAAAGAAGGAGAGCAGCAGGATGAGGCTCTGTGTGTCAGACATAGGCCAGTTTAATGACCAGGCACACAAGGCTGAACAAAGGAGCTCTGTATCCTGTGGATCCCCAAGGGAATCTGGCCTGGGCAGGTCTGAGCCCCAGGGACTGACACAGAGGCCAGGACAGTTAGGTCCTGCCAGGCAAACCCTGCACTGCAGAGCTTCTGCCACATGTCTGTGCTGCACCTGTGGTGCTGTAAGCACATCCCTCAGCTCCACGAGATGATCCTGCCGTCTGGGAGCCAGAGGAAGAGCCACAGGAGGTGACATCCCCAAAGGGACTCTGGGCTTACTGAACAGAGGGTCCTGAACGGGCAGGCCCAGTGCTGTGCACACTGGCCTACCCTGCCCCTCCTGAGGAGCCGGGCTGGACCGCAGCTGTGTCCCATGCGCCGAGTTTGAGTCCCTCCCATACCTCACGTCCTCCAGGCGATTTTCTGTGTGCCACCTCTGCACAGCAGCACAAGCCAAGGCACAGGCAGTGCCTTGCTACCCGGTCCTGCTCCACAGCCGTGCCCGAAGGCTGCAGGTCAGCTCACGGTGCCCATCCCGCCTTTCACTCCCGATAGTTCTTTTTCATTCTCCCGTGCCCGCCACGCGTGCGTGTCACCCCCAGTAGTCCCTGGCGAGGTTGGCCCCAGCGGAGCACCGCTGGTTCTGCCGCACAGGCACCTCCGGCACGGGGCAAGCCCACAGCCGTGGGACGGCCCGCGGGCGGGAGCAGCACTGTCCCTGATTCCCGGCAGCCGCCCGGGATCGGCGGGGGCCCACGCGCCAGCCCTGCCCACGTGTGCGGCAGCGCCGCGGGAAAACGCGCGCCCGCCCCGCCCCCAAGGGGCGCCTCCCGCCAGTGACGCCCGCGCCGCCCCTCCCACTGCGCTGCGCGTGGCGGGGCCGACCCTCCTGTCCCCCGCCCGGCAGAGACATGGCGGCGAAGCCCGAGGCGCTGCCCGCGCTCAAGATGGCCGCCCGCCCCCCCCGCGGCCCGGCATGCCCTCGAGCCCGCGCCCGCCTCCTGGCGCGCGGCCGGCCGTGAAGGGGTGCGCTCCCGGCGTGCCGCGCGCGGGGCGGGGCGGCGCGGGGGCTGCCGGGAGCCGTAGTGCGGGGAGGGCGGCGGTCACGTGCCGCGCCCGGCAGTGGCCGCGCTGGGAGCGGAGGCGCCAAGATGGCGGCGCGGCGGGGCGGAGCGGTGCCCGCAGCCAGCGGAGCCAGGGCCGGCGGTGGCGCCGCCGCGGCCGCTCCACGGGGTCTGGCGAGCGGCGGAACCCTGCGCGAGCCGCCCCTCCGCGCTGGCAGCCCCCTGCAGGTAAGCGGCGGCCGCGCGCGCCGGGCCGCGCCGTGACACGTGGAGGCCGGGGCGGCTCCCGCCGCGGCGGCACCACGTGTGCCGGGAGCGGGCCCGGCGCGCCGGTGGCGGGTGGGGGGTCAGCGCGGGCCGGGGGCGCCCTCGCTGCACACGGAGTGGGGCGCCCCTTCTGTGGGCCGAGGAGGGGGTGTCCGGGGCTCTCCCGCCGGGTGGGGCCATGGCGGCGCCGGGAGCCCCCGGGGAGGGGGGGCAGCACCGCGGCCCCGGGACCCGGCGGGGCGGGGGGCTCGGTGCCCGCCGCGGGAGATCACGCCTTGGCCTTGGGAAGGGGGAACCGGGGTGACGCCGGGCCAGCCATCCCCCCACGGTCTCCCCATCCCGGCGCCGCCCTGTGCCACCTGCGGGGAGGGGGCGATTTGGGACACCGGCACCTGCCGGTTTTGGTGGAGGAGCCGAGGGTGCTGGATTTGGTGTGCTCCGGGGAGGGAAAGGTTCCCCGAGTTGCACCAAGGCGTTATACCCGGGAAGCGGGGCTTCACCCCGGGGTAAGTGGCTCTGCGTGCGGGGCAGATCTGGGGCGCGGCGCTGTTGCCGCCGCCGCTATCACTGGCCCCGGTGGGACCTGGCGGCGCCGGGCTGGGCGCTGGGTGCGGGTACGCTGCTGTGTGGACGGGGATGCAGCATCCCTGTACGGGACCCGGGGGCGCCTGCGTTCAGCGTTTATTGGGATTTCGGGGAGCCCCGCGCCTCTGCCCCCCTCCAGGCTGCTTCTGCGTGGTCGGGGAGCTGCAGAGGAGGACCCCCCCCCATCCCGAGCCTGCACAGCGGAATGCCGAGTTTGTCTTGCCCCTCCCCGACGCGGGCAAAGTGGTCGGCGTGCGGGGAAGGGAGGTGTATTCCTCGCCTGATGCTTCCCGAAAGAAGCTGAGGAATCCGGGGAGCATCCTCTGGCTGTGCCCCGCCGGCCGGGCGGAGCCCCCAGAGTTCCAGGGCTCCCCCCGCGCCCTTGCCGGCTGCTCGGGCCCGGTGAGAGCGGCGCTGGCAGCCGGCCGGGGGCATGGCCACCCCGTGCTCGGGGCGTAGCCGCAGCATGCCGGGCACACGTGTCACCGGCGGGAGCCTCGGTTGTCCCTCCCTGGGAACAGAGCAGCGGGCGCAGTGTCCCCTGCGCAGGGTGGGTGCCGCAGGAGCTGGTGGCCATGCTTAGGGCTCAGGCCCCGTCCATTGCAAACTGTTGGCTCAAATCCCAGTGCCCCACGTGTCCAAAGCCTGCTCTGGGGCTGTGGGTATGTCCCTTCTCCCTGGCAGTGCTGGCTGCTTGGACACAGCGTGGCCAGAGTTGAAGCCCGTCCTTGAACGTTCCCGTGACCCTCTTCCCTGCTGTAAAGCAGAGAAAGGGAGCACAAGGAGTGCCTCTCCTGAGTTAGGGGTGATAGAGGTGTCTGGCAAGGAGGAGAGTGAGCAAGGGCACAGGAGCAGGCTAGGCTGGTTCGTACCCCCGCCCTGACGCACAAGGGATGCTCAAGCGACGAGAGCTTCAGGAGGTGCCAGAGCTTCAGGAGGTGCCGGCCCAAGGTGGATCAAAGGGAGTCCTGGGGGAACACAGCCTGGCTTGCTGGTGACTCACGGCTTTGGGACTCCTTATTGCAAAGCGCTGAGTCAAGGGAGTCGAAGAAGGCTTGGGAGATTGCCCTCCCTCCCCTTCCAGGCTGTGGGCAGGAGCTGCGGGAAGAGGCCATTTGAGTGAGAGGGTTTTGCTTCCCTCCCTCCAAACGTCTAACACTTGTCATGGGTGGAAACTTCTTATTAGATGCTGCCTTTGGGGAGAGCCACCCCTGTGGCCAGATGAGTAGGGTCATCCAGCCCTGGGGGTGTCCCCAAGACCCCATTGCCATCAGCAGGCAGGAATCAGCTGGCCCCTGTGTCCCTGGGCTGCTGAGGCTCCATCCTGCTGGCTTCTCTGGTGGCCCAGGCGCCTCTGCCTGCCGGTCACCGCTGACTCAGGGCTGCACGCCGGCGCTTGACGGTGCTAGGCGTGTGAGCCTGGATGTAATTCCCCGCTCCTCCCAGTATCTGCGTGAGGATTGGCTGGGAATCACAGCCAGGCTGCGCCTAGAGGGCTGCCAGTGGGCTCTGCGCTGGGCTCTGACCGGCAGCCAGCACTGGCCGAGGGAGGGGACTGGAGATGCTGAGCGGTAAAACTGCTCTGTAGCCTGATCTGCACGGTGGGGTGGTGTCCTGGTGTCACTGGTGGACTCCGCTTCCAGGCAGAGGGCCCTGGGAGAGGCTGGCCCAGGCTGCCAAACTGGCTGCAGAGCCCCAAACCACTGCAGGCTCCTGGTCTTTAAGGCTGCTGTGTCACAGGCTGGGGAGATCTGGGATGGGTGACTGCGGAGCATTGCTGTGGGTTTTCAGGCTTTGATTCCCAGCCTGTTCCTGGGATGCCTGTGTTCTGGGGTTGCATGGGGCTCCTGGCTGTGCTGTGGCCAGAGGTGCCTGCTCTGTCTGATTGGAACAAGTCTTTGGAGATCCCAGGGACAAGGGGTTTGGACACGTGGCTTTAGGAAACACTTATTTAGTGAAATGCCTGCTCTCCCTCTGGTGCAGTTTCCTGCTTGCTAGAAGAGGATTTCAAAGTATGGGCATGTCCTATACAGGGGCAGGGTGCATTTTGTCCTGCATGGGCTCAGGCTCATGCAAGCAGCAGTACCTGCATGAAACATGGGTGAGCTGCATCAGATGAGCATCCCCCAGGGTCTGGCCGGATTCTCCGGGTGCTGCTCCAAGGGGAGGAAGACAACTTGCTGCCTGCTCCCAGCCAGCTTTGGGAGGGAGGTGCTGGCAACATGCCTGTGCTGCTACTCTGCTCTGTATGTCCAGCAGCTCTGCTCAGCCAGGGTCTGCAGACCCTGCCCTCACCTGGCATCTGGCTTTTCATGACTTTTCCTGGCCTTCCTGCAGCACTGGACATACAGTCCAGTGAAGGCACCATGAAGTGTAGTGTAACTTTCTGAAGTTACTCAGCATTACTCAAACATCCCTGGAGGTGGCTGAGGGACTGGAAAGGATGTGGGGCTGGGAATTTGAAGAAAGAAGAGTAACGAAGCTGTTTCGGTCCTGCATTGCAGGCACAGAGCATGTCCTCTTGTAGCCTGCAGCAGAGGTGTTGGGATTGGGCTCCAGCAGTGGCAGCTGGCTGCATCCCTGTTGCTGACTCCTGCACTTTTGTTATGAATTTCGCAATGGTTTTGGGCTTATCTGAAGCGCCAAGAGCCAGAGCGTGACAGTCCGTGGGGTGGCGGGAGCCTGCCTGTTCCCTCCCTGTCCCGCATGAGCAGTGTTTGGTGTTGAGCAGAGGCTGGGGCTTCATCAGTTCACCTTTTCCAGTCACACAGCTGCGGACTGGATCAGGCAGAAATTTCTGGTGTGGAGGCATCCCAGGTAACTGGATGCGTCTTGGGGTGAAAGCGCCACACCACATTGTGCAGTGGGGTGGATACTCCCAAAGCAAGAGGGAATAATCCCTGTGCCAGCTTCTGACCTGTAGCCGTGTCCCACCTGCCTTCCTGCATGTTTGGGTCACGGGAGTCCTCAGCTGTGGTTTGCAGCATGGGCTGTCAGGAGCCCGTGTGTGCTGTGGAGGAGATCAGCACTGGTAGTGGTGCTGTGCAAAGTGTTTACCTGGCTCCCCATGCTCCTCAACAGTGCTTTTCCCTCGAGGATGACTTGAACTTAACGTCGTTGGATGCAGAAACCATCTTGGAGGCTGAAGAGATCCTTGGGACAATGCAGAACTATCTCGACTCCTCTGTGATCTCTATCATCGAGGATCTCTCTCTGTGCGAGGTGGGAGCTCACACGTGGGATGTGGTGGCTGGGCTGGCTCTGGCTGTGACATGGGTGGGGGTGGCAGCAGTGTTCCCCAGGGCCAGGTCTTGTGGCTGTGCCCCATCACACTCTGAGGCTGCCCCTGCTCTTTAGCAGAGCAAGGTCTGCCTGGATGTGCAGAACGAGCTGTCCTTGCTGACTGCCATCACGGAGATCCTGGACAGCACGGATGATGAGACCCTGTCCCCCTTTGACACCATCATGGATGCAGAGCTGCTGACCTCGCCTCGTGAGCGGGAGAATCCCTCGGTGAGTTGCAGGGCAGAGCCAGCCTGACCCCAGAACCCGTGGGAAGATGTTCAGGCAGGGCTCTTCTAGATCCTGGCATGAGGGTGCCCTGAGGTGGTAGGTCCCTTGTCCCCAGTAACCTGTGATGCTTCCTCTGACTAGTAACGTGAGAGAAGGGCTGAACCAGGCCTGGACACCCCCAGGGCTCCCGTGTAGTCCTGGGGGCCATGCCTTTGCTTTGAGTCTTGATGTAGAGCCAGAGATGTGCCAGAGGCTTTGGGGGGGCAGCACATCCCCAACCAGAGCTGTGCCTGCTGAGGGTGAAACAGGGCTGAGTTTGCTTCCGGGCTCTGTGGGGTGAAGAGCGTGGTCACTGTGGGGCTGGGGGTGGCCTGTCCCCTTCAGCAGTGTAAACCTGCCCCTGTCTCATCCTCTGTCCATCTCGTCTCCAGTTTCAGAAGTTTCTCACCTTGTCCCGTCCATTGCTGGAGTGTGAGAGCCCTGCCCTGGAGCAGTCCAAGGCTCTCAGGCCTCTCAGCAGCAGCAGCAGTGTCTCTGTGATTGGGAAGGTGAGCACCTGAGCAGGGGAATCTGAAGGAGCAATGTTGGGATGGTGCTGGGATAACTGTCCCTGCTGCTGTCCCCAGCCCTAGCCTTCCTACCTGGCACAGGCATTCTTTCCCAGAAGCAACGCTTTTGTAAGGCATCAGTGGCAGTAGGAGCAGGGTCTGCCCCAGGTGATGGGTACCGGGGTCTGGGGTGATGGGTTTCCAGCTCTGTTGTGTCATACTGGGAGGGTCAAATGTGTCCCAGCTTTTTGTCTGCCCAGGGACTTTGCTGTAGCAGACCCACAGTTGTCTGTGCCTGGGGGAGTTCTGGTGAAAGCCCAGGAGCTGATGCTTGCTGTTGTCCCCCTTCCCAGACTGATGCTGACCTGCCCTGGGACTGTGCTGCTCACGGCCTCGAGGACACAGTGCTGCCAAAGAAGCAAATCTGCAGCACCCCGAGAGTGGAGAGGAAGATGGGCCGGCACCGGGCTCGAGAGCAGCCCTTGCCACAGCGCAGTGATGGGGAGGAAGAAGAGGAAGAAGCTGCCTTGGGTGTGGAGCTAGACAGCAGCATGAAGGCTGTGGATTTCTGTGTGAGTGAGGCTGGGGCAGCACTGGAGGAGCACGAAGACCCCTGCATCATCAACACAGGTGATGTGTCTCTGAGTGAGCTGGTGAAGTCCATGCACCCGTACTGCCTGCCCACATTCACTGTGTGCCTGGACCCGGAGACTGAGCCCGTGGCCAAGGAACTTCTGAGCAGTCCGGTCTTGCTGGAAATAGTGCCTGACGAGGGAGAGAGTGTGGAGATCCCTGTGGTCCTGCAGCCTTTGGCTCCCAGCTCTCTTGATCTGGAGCCCCAGCTCCTGGGAGCAGAGGAGGGTACCAGGGAGTCAATCCCAGAGGATACAGAGGAGCTGCCAGGAGCTCCAAACCAGGAAAGTGGAGTGGAGGAGAAGAAGGAGGAAAAACTGCCTGGGAAGGAGCCCTCCTGCACTACCCCAGAGGGTACCTCCTCACCAGAGGCAGCAGCACCTGGAACCTGGAGTCCCAACAGCAGCTCCTGGCACAGCACGGAAGCCACAGTGGGTGGCAAACGCGAGTGCTCTGAGAAGGGACGGGGCCGTGAGAGAGCAAGGAAGAGTCGGAAAAAGAAAGCGGAGGACCAAAGCAAGCAGGCCAGGCCTGGCAGGGACTGTGTGGCCCACCGGCTTCGCTCTACTGGCTCCGGGCAGCCCCTGGGCCAGCTGGCCACCAGCCGGCAGCGGGCAGCATGTCCCTCTGTCCAGGTCTCAGACTTCCTGGCACAGCAGCTGGAACGAGCCCGGAAGGAGGGGCAGATGGAGCTGAATGCTGAGCGGGCACCACGACCCCAGGGCAGGCCCCGGAGCACATCAGGGGCCTCCCTTCCCAAGAAAGCGCAGCAGGAGCTGCAGAAGGTGCCATCACCAGAAATGGTGAGCGTAGCCCCAGAGAAGAACAAAACTGCAGTGCCTCTGGAGAAGACCACACCAAGCATGGAGGGGCAGCCAGCAACTGCATGTCCCAGCCCGAAGGACCAGGCTGAGGGCCAGGGAGATGCACAGACGTCTGCTGGACAGAACAGTGGGGTCTCAGAGGCTGCCTCTCAGCTCCTGGAGCAAGGTGTGCGGTCGGAACCCCCCCAGAGCATGCCAGCAGCAGAGCCGAGGGAGGGCCTGCCCAAGGAAGCCAAACCCAAGGCGCTGAGCCTGCGGGAATACCGCATCCGCATGCTGCACCGCCAGTCCAGCGCGGGTGGCAGCCAGGAAGGCAAGAAGCAAGTGGCCGGCAAGTGGCCCAGCGTCCCTGAGCCTCCAGCAGAGCTGGCAGAGATCCCCTGCCTGGTGTCACCCATGCGCTCTGCCACTGAGGCAGACAGTGCTCAGCAGGGCTTGGAGAAACCCGCCAGCCCCACTGCTGGCCCTTCTCCTGCTGGCAAAACTCCCACTGCTCTGGCTTCAGCTATGGCACCTGCCACGGCTCCACCACCCACAACACCAATGCCTTTTGCTGCACCAAACGTGCCCCCAGCCGCTGGGATGGCCCCTGCCGGGATGCCGCCACCCTCTGCCGGTGCTTACACCCTTTACCCACCAGTGCCTTCCTGGCCCTGTTTTAGCCCCCAGCCCATGGGCTACCATGGTTTGCCCCCGCCACCCCTTGCCGGCTCCTCCAGTACTTTTCACATGGTGCCTGGCCTCCCGCCTCCAGCCATGGCCTGGCCTCCACCGGCCGTGCCACCCCCACCTCCATTTGGCCCTGGTGGCCTCTATGGCCCAGTGGGGTGGGCACCACCATCCTACTGGCCAGGAATCCCCATGCCACCTCCGGTGCCTGCCCTGGCATACAGGGACCCCAGAACAGCAGCTCAGGCTGCCACTGCCTTCCCAGCTGGCAGCCACCCTAGCACAGCCCTCCTGCATGGGCAGCCTCCCGCCGCCCCTGTGCTCAGCTGCCCGGAGCCACCGGCCTTCCCTGCCCAGCCCCCTGCTGCCCCGGCCACTGAGATGGGGGCTGCTGGTGGCCCAGCCAGGCCAGCAACCAGCAGGGTACCGGACTCCAGGAGGCAGGCACGGCTGGCAGGGGAGAGCTCTCTCCCCAAAGCCCCTCTGGCTCCTGCCCCAGCCCAGCCTCTGCCAGCCCCCTCAGTTGCTGCTACCCAGCCCAGCAGGGTCCCTCCTGCAGCACCAGTCCCCCAGCCTGCCCCCACTCAGCCTCCAGAGGAGCTTCAGGCTGTAACCCAAAGGGCCGAGCTCCCAAAGGCCCCTCCAGCTGTCATCCACTGCGCTGTGGAGGTGTCCCCTGCCGCTGGCCCTGCTGGGGAGTCCCCTGACACCTGCCCCACGGAGAAGGCTGTTGGGCCAGGCAAGGGGACAGTGGAGAGAGCCCTGCTGGAGCCCAAGGCAGCTGCTGGGCAGGAGCTGCCTGGCCAAACATCCACCTCCCAGGCTGCGGCACCACCACCAAAAGCAGGTCGAGAGAGCAGCCTGCCCAACAAGGCGCCCGCTGCGCGGCCATGGAGGCACCAGCCGCTCCTCAGCCCGGCACAGCCCCATGACAGCAGCAAGGACATCGTGCAAGCCTTCATCAGCGAAATTGGTGAGTGGGAGGGTTGTGGGGCCATGGGTTGAGTGTCACCAGCCAGTGAGGCTGCAGTGCTGCTGGCAGCCCGCATAGCAGAACCAATTCCTGGCACTTCTGGTGGTGAGGGTGGCAAAGCTATGCCCATGGATGTTGCCTCCAGGGGATGGTCTGGGCTGGCTGTGCCCAAACTGGTCCCTCCTGGGTTTGCAGAACTGTATGCTCCTGTCCTTGCTGCAGGAGGCACAGAGCTGCTGCAGGCTATGCCACTGCTTCTCCTCCCAGGCACTTGCCCCATCATCCAGGGAGGCTGCTGCTGGGGGAGGATGGGGTTGGGATGCATCCCTGTGGTGCCAGGAGGATTTTGGCTGACCTGACTTGCTGTGCTTTCTCCCTGGCCCAGGGATTGAAGCCACCGACCTGTCCAGCCTGCTGGAGCAGTTTGAGAAGTCTGAAGGTGCGGATGCAGCGTGCCGTCCCTTGCGGGGCTCCCTCTGTGCTGTGCCAGCCTCCCTGGGCTGCCCATGCTCCCTGTGATGGGGTGGGAGTGGAGGGGCTCTGGTGTTGCTGCCTGTGGGCTGGTTATTCCTCTGCCCAGGTGCCTTTTCCTGGGGTTGTTTCTGTCTCCGTGTCCTTCTTGAAGGTGACCAATGGGGTGGTGAAGAGTGTCTAAAGGAAAGGGGGTGTGCAGCTCCTCTCTGCAGGGAGCTGGGTTTGGGATTCTGTGAAACTTCCGTCTCTATGCCTGAGGTGTTCTGTGTGTCCCGTACCCTCCAGTCTTGGCCTCTCACCATCCTCACCTACCTGCTCTCTTTTTAGCCAAGAAGGAGGAGACTCCTGTGCAGCACCCCGAGGACAGGAGGCCATCAGGGAGCTCTGGGTGAGTACCAAGATGTGGGCAGCTGGTGCCCCAGTGTGGAGCCTGGCGAGTGCTGAGTCTTGCCTTTGGTGGGGGCAGGGGGCAGCTCTCAGTCCTGGCAGGGTGTGAACTCTGCTGTGTCTACCAGCCTGGGAGGGGATGAGCTTTTCACTGGACTGGGACCAGAGCTGGCACTGAGCAGGAGAAGCAGCGATGAGCATGACCAGGCTGTGCAAGTTCTGTCTTTGCAGCTCTCTTAAATTGTCTATCCCCCTGGACTTGCTACTGGTGCAGCATGAATGGGTGCCCCAGGTGGGGGACTGGGGCTGGGCTTTGCCTGCCACATTTGACAAAGCTCCTTTCCCTGTCTCAGGCCTGAGACCCAGCAGGATGGACAGACTCAGCAGGAGAGGAAGCCCCCAGATGGCCTGCATGCCTCTGAGCTGGCCAATGTGGCAGGTAATGAATACCTGGGGCGAGGCAGGGGAGCCCATGGTATTGTGGCAGAGCTGTTGTGGGGCTGGGAGACAGCTTGGGGAGTGAGGGAGGCCTGGCCATGAGGGAGCCCAGCTGGACAGGTTGCATCAAGGGGCTGCTCTTGAAAGCCTTCTGGTACTCTCACAGGCCTCACCCCGCCAGCAACGCCCCCCCATCAGCTCTGGAAGCCTTTGCCTGCTGTCTCACTGCTGGCTAAGGCCAAGTCGCCTGGGTCTGCACCCCAGGAAGGGTCCCAGAAGACAGCCAAGCTGATGAAAGCCAAGCCACTGCCCCCAAACAAGATCCAGGGGAAGAGTGTGGTGCTGGCCCCCACCGGCACAACCCCCAACCACGTCTGCTCGGGAGACCACGACTACTGCATTCCATCCGTGGCACAGCCGGAGAGCAACAGTATCCCTGGCACGAAGCCCCCTGCTGAAGGCGGCTCCCGCTGGAACGTCAAACGCCACCGGGACATAACAATCAAACCCATCTCCTCCTTAACCAAACGGACGCTGGACCAACCTGAGCCCACCCCGCCAGCCCCCTCTCCCACTGTGGGGCCCGTCCAGGAGCCTGTGGGGACAGATTGCCTGGCCCCCCTGGATTATCGGACTACCATCCCCAACAAGGCCACCACCAGGTGCAGCAGTCCCCCCACCTCGGTGCTCCTGTCTCCAGCTGCGTCCCCGTGCCGGGACCAGGAGGTGAGGACTCCCAGTGCCCAGCCCAGCCATGCTGCTGCCAAGAGGTCCCTGCGCTGCTACCGGAGACCCCAGGACTCACCCAGCCCCTCTACCAACAGCTGGAGGGCTGGCCGGAGCCGTGCCAGCCGCTCCTTCAGCTCCAGTTCGGATGGAGCTAGCGAGTCCTCATCTTCATCTTCATCCTCATCCTCCCGATCCCGGTCACGGTCGTTCTCCCCACCCCCCAAGCGGTGGCGAAGGTAAGCTGTGCATTGTTTGTCGCTTCTCTTGGTGGCTGGTCTTTTGCAGGTGCCCAGACACCTCTTTATGGTCTTACTTGATAGCTTTTTGTCCTTGTGGCCCTTCTGAAGGGGTGCCTGAAGGGACAGAGGCTGTGGGAGCTGCTGTGACACCCTACCCGTGGGTGTGTGGCTGAACCCCACATCTGGGCAGGCATGCCTGCAAAGCTACCACTGAGCCAGGATTCCTTATTCCTCCTGGAACATGAGTTCTTGGCTGCATCTTGGCTCTTGAATGCCTTTTCTGGGGTATTACTGCAGGTGTTGGTGTTTGTGAAATGGGGCTGCTGCAGTCCTAGGTGTAAAAATGAGAGGAGCTGCAGCAGAGCTCTCCAGGGAGCTGCTGGAGGCAAGCAGGGAAAAGCCCGTCTGGCTTGACTGCCTCAGGGGCTCCCTGTGCTCCTTATGGAGGTGGCTGTGTAGGGAAGTGGGACAGCTTGGTCTCTGTGGGACACATTTGTTTTGGAGTCTTGTGCATCTGAGTGAAGCACAGCCTGTCCCAGCTGGGCTGGGAAGCACTGGAGCTGGCTGAGGGTATCTCTTGTCCTTTCCTGGGCGTTCAGCCAGTTCTGGAGACATCTCTGGGCGTGAGGGGCCTTTCCAACTAAGACCCCTCCACTGATGGCCAGTAAATGCAGAGGCTGGAGCTGGAAAGGACAGGTATATAGTGCCATGTCCCAGGGATGTGCAGCTTGGGGACTGTCAAGTGAAATGTCTGGCTTGGCTTTCCAGCAAATGCAGATGGCCTAGTGCAGAGAAACGTCCTTGTGGACTGTGCCATCCTGACTTGCTGTGCTTCAGGAGAACATGTGGTAGTACCAGGCAGCATCCCTTGCCAGGCCTGGGTTTGCCTATGGCAGAGACCACCTTTGGGCAGCATGGCTGGAGATGGACTGTGCTCCTGGCTGGAGGCAGCACAGCTTGATCCCAGAGAGGTTTTGGTCTTGCTGCCCTTAAGCTCTGCCAGACCCAGCCAGAGAAGCTCTTGCAGTCTCCATTCACACTGCTGTTGCGTGGGACACAGACGTGATGGCTCCAGTGTCATCCTGTGCATGGTGTGGGGCTCAGCACAGCAATCACAGCCCCTCCTGGGCCATCCTGGTTGCAGTCCTGTGCTTCATGTTCTCATGGGACTATTTCTTGCTCTTCACAGTCTGCTGTGAGCCTGCTCCCTTTTTTCTGTGGTGTTGGAAGCCAAGTGGAGCAACATCTCTGTAGTGCCACCCTGGCTGTCTTGGGCAGAGGTTTCCACAGTCCAGTTCATCCTGGGGATGGGTCCTGTCTGAGTGGGGTGCTGAATACTGTGGGGAGGATGGAGGTGTTTTTCACTGCTGGAGCCTCGTGGTGCCAGCCATGGGGAGAGCTCAGCTCTGTCTCTCCTTTCCCCAGATACCGCTCAAGATGTTCTCACAGCTCCTCCTCTCGCTCCAGCTGTGGGTCATGCGGCAGGTCCCGTGACAGGTCCTCATCCTCATCATCAACATCCTCCTACTCGTCCAGGTCCACATCCCACAGCCAGTCCCGCTCCCCCTCACCCCGCAGGAGGAGTAACAGGCGGAGAAGGTGAGTGTGGCCACCCTGCAGGACTGTGAGTTCTGCCCAACCCCTCTCCCAGCCTCTTGTGTCCTGTGCAGGAATAGACCCACTCCTTCACTATCTCCCTTTATGTTTGGGATCACTCTCCTCTGACACCCCCATGATCCAGTAGCTCATGTGTTTGGTTTCTGCCCTGCCAGATACAGTTGCGATGCACAGGACCACTACCAAAGGCAGAGGATCCTCCAGAAGGAACGTGCAATAGTGAGTGCTGGAGGGCTGGGAAAATGGGGCTAAAGATTTGGGGGTCCACACTCAGTTCAGAAAGCTGTGGTGATGCATCACTGCTGGGAAGCCCTGGCCATGGCGTGGTGTGGTGGGTGGCTATACAGGGAGGGTGCTCTGTGGGAGAGGTCGTGCTCATGGATGGGGCATGCCTGTCCACAGGAGGAGCGTCGAGTTGTGTTTATCGGCAAGATCCCCAGCAGGATGACACGGTCAGAGCTGCAGCACCGCTTCTCTGTGTTTGGGGACATTGAGGAGTGCACCCTGCACTTCCGGTCTGAGGGGTAAGAGCTGTGGGGATGTGGGTCAGCCCCTTCCCAGGGATGGCTCCTCTTGGCCCTTTTCCTATTACTCAAGGGGGTGGTGCAGACCAAGAGGGGGGACAAACATAACTGTGTTGCTGCTGATTTCCGTCCTCCTTCTTCTCTGGTGTCAGGGACAACTATGGCTTTGTCACCTATCGCTATGCCGAGGAAGCCTTTGCTGCCATCGAGAGTGGGCACAAGCTGCGGCGCCCAGATGAGCAGCCCTTTGACCTGTGCTTTGGCGGCCGCCGGCAGTTCTGCAGGAGGAACTACGCCGACTTAGGTGAGTTGTGCAGCCTCCACACTGAAGGATTGGCACCCTGGGTCCTCTCTCCTTCCCCGAGGTGTAGGGGCTCCAAGTCTCTCCAGTGCTGTGATGGAGGCCGGCCCATTGTCTAGATGGGTCTAGATGCTGTCATGTGAAGCAAGATGAGAAGTTTGCTGTGTGGATGGGCAGAAGTGTGACAGTGGCTCAAGGCAGACTCTCTCCGTCTCTTCCAGATTCAAACCGGGAGGATTTTGACCCGGCTCCCGTCAAGAGCAAGTTTGACTCCCTGGACTTCGACACGCTGCTGCGGCAGGCACAGCGCAGCCTGCGGAGGTAGCAGCAGGCAAGGCGGAGCACCTGCCCCCGCTTTTATACTCAAATACAAAAGGCAAAAAAAGTATGGAGAGAGAGAGATATGGGGTTTTTAATAAAAAGAAAAAGGAAAAAAATTTGTTTTATAACCAATATTTAAGGAGGATGGGTTGCTGGCCTTCGACTGGAGGGACCCAGGCAAGTGGCAGTCCTGGGCTTGCCCCAGACATATAATAAATGTGGATGCCCAAACAGCAGCACTGCTTTGTTTCCTCCTTTTCATGGGCCATTCCCAGGCACGAGCTCAGGCTGTGACCCTTCAGGACACCAAGGACTCTGCTGTGGTCTGGCCCCATGAGGCATAAAACGGTTGGGAACTGGGCACAGGAGTGGGGTGTCTGTGGAGAGTGGGGCAGGACTGCGTTCACCGAGCCTGCGCCTGTCACTGTGACAGCCTGCAATGGCCTGGCACGGGGTGAGCGCCTCTCTGAGGACCCCTCTGCCCGTCTCTTGGGCTCTGCTGGCTGGAGGCATTGGCACCCCGTGCCTCCCAGCCTTCTTACGTCCCCCTGCACCTCCCGCCATGCCCACGGGGGGGCGGTGCAAGATGCTCCACGGCCGCTGCCTGGCCGGAGCTCGGGCCGGGAAGGGCGGCTGGAGCCCCTGGCCGGAGCTCGGGCCGGGAAGGGCGGCTGGAGCCCCTGGCCGGAGCTCGGGCAGGGCTCTGCTCGCTCCGAGGGCACCGCGCCCCCTGCCCTGTCTACCGGTCCCTCTCGAGCCCGCTCCTTGGCTTTGCTCCAGCTCAGCAGAAGGAGAAGGATGTCTGACATCTCATCTCTGGGTTTCCCCTGAGGGAGAGATGTTGGTGTGACTGCAGAGAGGTTACAGGCAGCCGCAGCGGGATGGTGCTTGGCAGAGAGGAATGGACAGTGATAAGGATGGATGTGTGATCCGTGTCCAGGCCCTTCCAGTGCACTTTAGCTCATGGAGGCAGAAGGGTGATTGAAGGCAGCCCCCAGGGGTGTGTGCATGGGCCTACTGCCAAGCATCTGCCCTGCACCTTGCCCACAGCCAGCAGTGCCAAGGCCCTGACTCCTGTTCTTGTGCTGGCAATTAGGGAGAAGCCCTGCCTTAAGCTGCTCCTGAGCTGGGACAAGCCCAGGGATCCCCTGCAGGTGGGGCTGAGCCAGCAGTGCTAACTGGGAGCCCTGAGATGGCACCATGGCTTTGGGACTGGGTCAGGCTTGGGCAGGGTGCAGTGGTGCCAATTTGGGCCCCCTCTCACACACCTGGGGCAGGGGAGCTTAGAGCTGCCCAGATGGGCTCTGCAGAGCTGGGGGCATGTGGAGGGAAGGGATGGGCAGGTGATGAACCTTGCACCAGCGTTCTTCACAGTGCCTGGGATGAGAAGAGGCTGTGCCCACTCCTCTAGTGGGAGAGCAGGGAAGGGAGTAGGGGCAATAAACCCAGGCTGGGGTGTCCTGTGGTGTGATGCAGGATGGGGGGTTCAGGTAAGCTGATGCTACCACTTGGATCATGCTCAGGGCTCTGAGGCTCCTTAAGTTGTGCCTGGGGTGTGCTACGGCAATCTTATGGTCTGGGATTAGCACAGGAGTTGGTGCATATCTGTGCCCTTGCTGCTCCCCTGGATGGAGGAAGGTGCTCCTGCTCCTGCCTGCATGCTGAGTGACTCACGCTGCTCCATAGCTCAGCCCTGGGAGGCCTCTGCAGTACCCAGGGGTGTGGGGGGCAGTGAGGCTGCCTCCAGGTGACCCTGAGTGAGCTCCCACCCTGTCCTCTCCTGCTTGGCCCTGGACTTTGTACAAGGGAGGGTCCAAGGAGGTAGCTGCAGGCAAAGGTGTGAGCAGGATGGGAGGGAGGTGGGCAGGGGGCTGTTAATCAATAATGCAGCTCTTCCCAGGGACATCAGCTTGGCAGGAGGGGGTGACAGCCAGGACCTGGTGGGGACTTGTGAGGAGGATGTGCCCCCCTTTCTGGGAGTTCATGCTGAACCAGGGCAGTTGGGCCAGTGGTGGTGCTGAGCAGCATCTTCTTGGTCTCAGAGCTGCCTCAGCGGTGCTGAGGGTATGTGGATCCAAGCAAGCATTACAGGGAGAGCCTCCGTTCAACCAGCTGCAAAACCACCCTCAAGCTGTAGGCTGATTCTGGCCTGAGGAAGGGCTTGTGTGCCCTAGAGCTGGGCTTGTTTGTACAACAGCTTTAGGGGGTCTGGAACTTTCTTTACAGCCTTTCCTCAAACCTGTGGTGCAGCTGTGGAGGCAGGCAGGAGTGTCACAGCAAAGGCAGAGTTGGGCACAGGGGATATCTGCTTTCAGAGCACCCCCTTGACCCCTCGGGATATTCCACCACATGGACCTGGGGTGTGTGCATTCAGGCAGCTCCTGTGAGCAGGGCATCACCCCAAATGTGTGTGCTGTTGGCTGTGGCATGAACAAGGCTGTGTCCTTGCATTCCTGGGGCTGGGCTGCACATGGTCCCCTCTCCTTGCTCTTGTGAGTGAGGAAAGGTGGGGTGTGTGAAAGCGTTTGTGTTGCCAAAAGAATTAACACCCTGCTGTTGTGCCCTATAAATCTTCCAAATGTTAGGGGCTGCCTTTATCCCTCCGTGTTACAGTTTAATGGTTTCCGTTAGCAATAACCTGGCCTTGTGTTCTGGGTTATTGATTTAAGGTCTGTTGTGGAGGGTGTGAGAGTTGCAGAAAGGTGTTTTCCTGCTGCCCAGCCAGCAGCAAAGGCACTGTTGCAAAGAGGAGGCAGAAGTGCAGGAAGTGGTGCGCAGCCAGCTCTCTGGAAGCACGGGTGCTTGCAGGGGCTGTCTGGAGAGTATTGGGGACAGTGGCAAGGAGCAGCACTTGGAGCACATCTCTCAGTTGCCCCAGCAGCCAGCAGGCATGGCTGCAGCTGCTGAGGTGACTGTAGCTGCCATGGTAGGGTAGCACCCCCTGAGTTCTAAGAGAGATGGGACATGCCTGCCTTTGGCACTTGTTGGAGTTGCTGCCCGCATAGGTGGTCCCTGGCTCGATGGCAGGCAGCTCCATTTGCCTCCCTGTGCCAGGCACAGCACCCTGCAGCACTGCAGACAGCCCAGTTCGGTAGTTTGGACCTGGAACTCCCAGGGCACAGCCGTGCCTCAGCTCTCCTCTGTGCACACTGATAGGTAGGTCCTGCTGGTGGCTGCACCGCTGGCCCAGAACAGTCCCCTCGCAAATACCCTTTGGAAGAGACTGTGGTGCAGCTCAAGCACAGCCTTTGCCCAGCTGGTAGCAGCAATACCCGTGGGGGTTTCCTAGGCCAGAGGCAAGCCAGAGATGAGGAACAGAGCTGGGACTTTGTAGGAACCCCAAATCCTGGGAAGAGTCTCTTGAAAACAAATCCACTTCACCCAAGGCACATGGTGTGTTTAGGACAGCCAACCTTCCTTCTGCAAGCAGCAGTAACCTCTGCTGCCCCCATGAGAGGCTCTGTTCAGAGCTGCAGCAGCCTGTGGCTGGATACTACACAGAGGGTGTTTTCTGAGAGGTCAATAAGAAAAGCTGGGATTTTCACTCTGTTTCTCTTCAAGGCACTCTCAGCCTTTCCCCTTCTGTTCCTGCTGCAGACGCCAATCTCCTGCATTTGTCCTTCCCTGCACCAGTCCCTGCCATCTACAGTTTTCTGCTGGACCAATATTCTAATGGATTGATGCTGATTTCACACCTTCCTTCTCCCTTTCCCTTTTCATTCCCTCTTGCATTAGTATGTCCTGAATGTGATGTTCAAGCTAGAAAGCAGCTAGAAGGGCACCCGGATTGGTCTTTCATTGTGGGTAAAACCTGGAAGATGAGGGGCCTGTGCTCTGTGCATAAGCTGGTTTGGACCCCATGCACAAGAGGCAGTGGGGCAGCAGCACTTCTTGCACACCTCTGCCTGGGGCTGAAGGCTGCATGGCCCTTGTCCCCATTGCTTTGCAGGGCTCCACATTTTCCCAGCAACAGCAGAGTCCTTTATCTAAGGAAAGGTTATTCTGGGACCTTAGAGTTGGGTGCTGCCAGGTGCAAAGCACCCACATTGCTGTGAGGTGGGTGTGCTTTTCCACACTTAGGGTGTTCACCCCTAAGATGTTCAGCATACTCATCCTGAAAGTTGACAGGGACCCCTGTGAGGAGAGGTGCCAGGTAAGAACCTAGGTCTGCAATGGTCCTGGCTCTTGGCACCCATTCCCTTCCCTGGAGCCAGCAGTCCTTGGGATTCAGACTGACTCAGAACACCCGAGAGCTCAGAGCTCCTGATCCAAAGCAGAGGCTGCTGCTGTGGCATGTCTGTGCCTCCCCAGCCTGGATTCCCTCACAGGGGTACCCAGCTTCAGGGTGCCTGCTGAGAGTGGCCATGGCAGTTTGGTGCTGGGATTGCTGAGAATGTGGGCTCAGAGGAGGCCTGGAGAGCTGGGAGAGGTGCTCCTCCCCCTGTGGCATGCAGCACCTCCAGGTTCAGGGCTCCCCCACCCACAACACCTCGTCTGTTCTCTTACACACCCCTCATCCTCCCACCTGCCTGCAAGCAAGCCCTACAGGCCAGACAGTGGTTGTGTGTCCTCTAAATCTGTGCTTGTACAGCTGAGAGCATGGGTTAATGCCGATGTTCCCTCTCACAGCTGCTGTTGCTGTTACCATGTGTGCTTGTGTTCGCACTGGGGCAGTCCTCCAGGGTCACCCTCTAGTCCAGGGTCCTCCAGCTGTGAGTAATCATGCAATGAAGGTCCTGCTGGTGCCTCTAGCTGGTGCCTCTTGCTTCACTCACTCCAAAACCTGGTGCTGCAAATGTTTCCAGTCTTCTCTCAGCAAAAGAAGCTGCAGCTGTAACACGCCACTGGAACCAAGCAAGGAGATTAAGAGACCATCAGTCTTCAGCCTGGTGATGGCACAGAATTTGTGAAAAAACGTTATGTAGGATCTAGAAAATAGATGTGAACTTGGAGAAATAAAAACTCAAACCAAACCAAAACAAAAAGGCACCAACCAAATCCACACAAAAAATGCAAACACAATTTTTCTGTCAATCCAGGAAAATTCCCTCCTGACCCTAATCTGGCAATAGCATTAAGCCTAATGTGTGAGCAGGCCTTTGGGACTGTAATGCTGGGAGCACCAATGCAGAGATTGTGTTTAGTGCTCCAGAAGAAGGAAAACCTCTAGAAACAGTACCTTTAGAAACAAGTTAAGAAGAAAATTGGTTATTCTTCATGATCACAGTGACCA